GTATTTGCAAGGAAAAAGAAAAAGAAAAAAGTTGATATAAAGAGCTACCAGGTATTTTGACTCCCCTTCCCCCCCCCCCCCCGCTTTTTGGTGTGTGTTTTTTTGCTGTAGCACTTATTAAAATTTTATTTGTGTTTGTTTGCTGTAGCATTTTTTATATAAAATTTTGTTCTGATACTATCAGGTAATTAACAGAAATAATAAATATAGATAAAAATGATTTATATAACAGAAAAGAAGAAAAATCCAACCCATATGAAAAAGATATATACCTCAGAATTTGGGTGATATGCAAACAAAATATGATGTAGCAAAGTTGTGAATTCTTTGGTTTATAAAACTGTATAACTACTAAAAGAAAATTAGTGGGAGGGCCTGAACATGAAGTTTAGTGGATAAATTCTAAGATTCTTCTAATCCAAATACTATGACACCTATTCCTTTTACTTATCTTCATTCTACTAAAAAAAGTCACTTGACGTTCATTCCCTTTTCTAGATATTAAATATGTCCAGAAGGAAGATGATTTTTGTCATGAAATCAAAAGTATTATCACATGTATCCTTTTTAATTTATAAGAATATATCATTAAATGTCTGGACTGTTTACATACTTTTATGGGCCCCACAGTAATGCTTATAAACACATTTTAAAAAACATTTGCTCAAGAACAGAAAGTGGGGAAGAGAAAAAAAAATAATAGAGGTTAGAAAGATGAAAAAGTTAATAAAGGAATAGTTAAAACCTTTTTTATTTTTGTAAATTAAGATAAGCTAGAAACTTTTGGTTTATCTTTTAAGTCAGGTGATATCAGAGAAGTGAAAAAGCAGATTAGATAGCAAATGCTTATCTGACACCTGTAATTTCTAAAACCATTGAGAATATTTTTACTAAAATTAGTTCAAATAAAATAAATCATAATTTACTATGAATTAATTTAAATTATTTTATTAATTAATTTTATTGATGAATTCAATTTTATTAATTTAATTTTATTAATTTATTTATGAACTTCATAAATTAATTAATTTGATTTATATTTAAAATTTTATTGAATTTTATTTAAAATTAGTTTAGTAAAATTAATTTAAATAAATTTTAATATAAATCAAATTATTTAATATTAATTATATAGATTAATATGAATTTTAATAAAATTCAATTAATTTTGATAAAATGTTCTCAATGGTTTTAGAAATTGCAGGTGTCAGAGAAGTATTTGCTATATAATCTACTTTTTTCTCTTCTCTATTTTCACCTAACTTGAGCTGGAAACTTTTGATTTATCTTTTATCTTAATTTACAAAAATAAAAAGTGAAGACAAAATACCTAGTGGTTATATAGATCACCATTTTCTTTCAATTTTAAATTTTCTCATTTTCAGCTTCTTATTTCTTTTTTTTTAATAGAGAAAGAGAGAGAGAATTTTTTTAATATTTATTTTTATGTGGTGCTGAGGATTGAACCCAGCGCCCCATGCATGCCAGGCGCGCTACCACTTGAGCCACATCCCCAGCCCAGCTTCTTATTTATTTGATTTTCAAGCTCCTTTATGATAGGGACATGTGGTTTATCTTTTAAACCTCAAGCAATTTACAATTAGAAAAGAAAAGGGACTACTCATGGCTTCTTTAAGTAGTTCACGAAGTAGACCTAAATCAAATATGAATTATCTTTAGAAGAATTTGTAACAAAAGGCTGAGAACAAGATTTCCCACACCAGTCCCCTACAACTCTGCATATGTGGCTCTCTCTGATTTCATCATGGATATAGGTTGATGTGATGACCACCACAACAGCCACCAGACACACTTGCATCTTAAAGATCAGTGAATCATCTCCTTGCACCAGCACCAGCTGTTTAGAACTTAAGAATTTTTTACCAGCCCATTATTTAAAAAATTCTTACTTGAAGCTTAAGTGTATGAGGATGTTCGTATTTATACTTTTAGGTTGTACATTGAAGAGCATTTTCTTGCAGATTTTGTCAATGTAGCTATGCCTTAGAAAGAGAAACCTTTTTTCATTTTATGCTATGCCATATTTCTTGAATGTTCTGCTCATGGTTTCATACTCTTTATACTGTGTGGTCTACAGTCTTTTTAAAATTATATATGTTGAACTCACTGTCTGAGGTTCTGTCTTCCAAGTGGTCTAATCTGTTGATGATGCTTTCAATTGAACTTTTAATTTGGTTTATTGTTTCTTTCATTTCAAGGATTTTTGTTTTCTAGAATCTCTATCTCCCTACTAAAGTAATCTTTTGCTTCCAATATTTGTGTTGTTTATGTAGCTCTTTGTCAAAATGATCTTTTGCTGCCTGTATTTGGTCTTTTATCTCATCCTTTAATTTGCAGAACATTTTCCTTATGTACATCCTGAACTCTTTCTGTCATCTTCTGCTGTGCTGGCCATGGATTCTAATAATGTGGTGTCTTGATTTGTTTGTGGCCCTTTCTTCCCTTGTCCTTTCGTATTGCTGGTGTGTCTTCCCTTCTAGCACTGTGGATCCTAGGCAATACCGTTTTTACCCTATAGGCTTACAGTGCCCCTTCACAACTCCTTTGAGATGAAGGACAATATTATCAGATCCCAATATAAACCATATATACCCTAATGTTTGCAAATAAGATGTTTACATTTGGTCACAATGTACAGATATTGTGAATTCAGTTATTATCTACAATATACCCAGTAGGTTTGTAAAAGGGTTTACAGTTTCTGATGGTAGACAAAGAAGTGGGGATGGAGGGGTAAGATGATATGCTGAGGAGGTAGGAGGTTGTTATATCTTAGGAAGTGTGAAAGAGAAATCTAAAGAGGAAGATTAGTAGCAGGAGAAAGGAATGGAAGTATATTTGGGTAAACAAGTAAGTGGGAAGACAAGAGAGTACATAAAACAAACACACATATCAAGAAAAATAAAACATGTTAAAGTAGCAGAAATTTGTGGGAAAAAAAGAAAAAGAAAAAAAATAAGCAAAGAATAAAAAGAATGTACAACACCAGTGTAACATACTATTCAGAAGTCCCAGGACTTGGTTTTACATATGTTGGGGATGTGAGGTGGGGAGAGGAAAAAATAAAATAAAATAAAATAAAATAAAATCTCGAAGGAAGACACAGGGCTTGTTTTGGTTTGAGATCAGTATCTTTCCTGGTTTCCTTCTCATCCAATAAGTAGTGTCCTCTGTTGTTAGCTGGTATCTCGGCCCTCAGGATGGTGAAAGTACCAGGGTGCCACTGTTCCAGGTTAATGGATGCTGGGGAGAGGGAGAGTTAGAAACTGGGTACCTGGAAGATGGTGATGAAGGTGACCCAAGATGGACGCTCTTGCTTTCAGAAGTGGGGTGAGTGAGAATACAGATACAACATATCTGGGACACTAGGAAAGCAGTTTTAAGAGGAAAGTTCATTGCATGGAGTTTATTCCTTCAAAGAAGAAAAAGTCAACAAATAAATGACTTAACATTACATCTCAAAGCCCTTGAGAAAGAAGAACAAATAAACACCATGACATCTCATGGTCTTACTCTTCTTGTTTCATCAATTTTATGTGGGCTACATTGAAAATAAGTAAGTATTGTCAAGAGACACTGGAGGATACAAAACTGAAGGTGTTTTAGATTCAGACCTCATGGATTTTGCTATTGCAAGTTGAATGCCAGGAGAGAGTTCACTTGGAGCATAAAAAATATGTGAATGTGTAGGCAGATGAGGAGAGCTCTGTGGATCACCTGTTTCCTGTTGACTTTGAAGGATGGAGAAAGTTTGGTCATACAAAGTGGGGAGTAAGCATTTAATAAAAAGAATACAAATAATGAAAAAACTGCAGAGAAATCAGTGATTCAATAGCTCTACTCTAGAAAATCTGATGAAAATTATACAGAAATCATTTTTTTTTATGCTGTGCCCAAGAAAATGAATGAACAAGATGTGGGCTACTCATTAGCATCTTCTCAAGTTGCTTTCATTTAATTTGTCTCAATTATCTTTAAAATTGCCTTGGTTTGTAGATGTTATTGTTATTATGTCATGATATCAATATCCTTATGTTAGTTATTTATCTGTAATTGTCTTATTTTATATATTCCCATTGTGTACTTGGCTTGCATGAGTTTTAATTCGCAGTCCACTGACTTATTATTCAAACAGTATCAACTTAATCCTCCAAACCTTGTAAGAGTATTCAATGCTTATGAAGTTTTCCTACTTTTCCAATGAGTCAACATGGGCTATATTTATATGATTAAAAATAATTAGTTTGATTTCATGTTGCTTTAAATGTCCTTACTTTAATTTTCTTTGCTCAATTGCTGGGTATTACATAACACAGCAAGGAACTTTTATTTTGAGTCTTTTTATTATTAAGCAAATTTGTGTATTAATACAAGGAAGAGTAACTTCAGGGTGTTTGAATATGTATTGCAATGATCATTCCTTCCTTCCAGTGTACTTATCTCTGAACCCATCATTTTATTGGCTCCATAGTTATGAATGTTTTCAGGAAGTGCTTTCTGAAAAATAAATACCTCTCCATCCCCATATTCAGAAAATTCCTGTATTTCATGCATTTATTTTTAGCTCCATTCTGATGGGAAAAAAGGAGGCTTTGTTAATCAGACTGACAACCAAATACCTGAAATTTAGGAATTACAAATTCCTAAATTTGTAATTAATGAAGTTTCTCTCTGCAACTTCGTTAGTTGGAAGTGGGTAAATTTCTCAGTAGACAGAACCTTGCTTGACTTTGGTTATCTCTCTCTTTAGGAATATTTAAGAATGTTTATTTCCAGCTTTTACATTAGTGGAGTCTGTCACTATAAAATAATTATCATTTCAAGAAGAAATAACAATGCATTATCTCTAGCCCACAATGTATTTTCATACTTTATCTTGTGTATTCATTATGAGGTGGGAACTCTTATTCGAAGAGGGTCTTGAAGAAGGTAGGTGACTTGTTCCAAGTATTAGAGCAAATAAAAAAGATGTGACTCACCCCAGTGAGTGTCCTCCATGAATCCAGACTTCTTCCTATTGCTCCTCAACCAAAAGACTATTTTTCCAATTTAAAATGAAACAAACAAATAAATAAAAATCCTCTTTTCTACCACTGGATTCAGATGACAGTCAAATTTGCCCAAGCATATTGAGCAATCATAAATGACTCCCCCCCCGCTCTGCACTGGAGATAAACCACAACTTATAATAACAAAACTGGTCATTGCTCTAGCCAAAGTATTTCATCAGCTTCTGGCGTCCATTATATCTGATATGCTTATCCAGCATGACTGATGGTTTGGTTCTTAATAAGTAGTCTAGTTAAGCAGCGAAGTTAATGACAGGAGATTTTTCTTTGGCTCCAGGGCTCAGCATGCACAGACAGGACCCTGCATGAATTCCCCCAGCGTGTGACGATAAGATACTTCCACTCTGCCAGCAGAGAGCAACTTCATTAATTAAAAACACATTGCATGTTATCACAAAAGATTGAATTTTCTAGGAAGAATTACCCTTTGGCTTTATGATGAGCATGAGGAATAACAGTTAATATGATTCCAGACATAACTTTGTTTCAATTTAGGACAGAAAATATTTAGGATTAGGATTAAGTCTTCAGGAGAGATGGGCTTCACGATCATTCTGCAATGGAAATGCTTGGGACTCTTGTTTGCACTTTGTTTAGGCTGGCTCTGGGAGTTAAAACATTTGCTCAACCCTACTGGGTGTCTGTGACTTAATAGGATATGGTCCTAAAATTTAAATAATGCATTTGAATAGTTCACTCTTTGTGCTAAATGCAAATTAAACAATAAATGGACTAATAGAATGTTTGCAAAGTTCTCAAATTTTGAGAAAAAAGCTAGTAAAGTCAAGCTATCTCTTTGAGGGAGATTACCAATATCTTCAAAAAAAGCAGTGTTTTCCAGACACTAATTAAAAATAAAACTATAATAGCAGAAAGAGCAGTAGAATAGAGGGAAGGCCAAAGAGAGGGAGGAGGGGAGGGAAAAAGGAAGTACTGGGGACTTAATTAGATCAAATTATTCCATACTTTTAAATTATTTCAAAATGAATCCTAATGTTATGTATAACTAAAAAGAAGCAATAAAAAAACAAATGAGACAGTTATTTGTCTTATAACATGGCTAAATAAATTTATCAAAAAAAAGAAAAGCAATGTTTTGACGGTGTTTGAATTGTAGTACATAGTATTAAAGTAGCCTGCTTTCTGATACCAATGCAGAAATATAATGTAAGAGAATTTGGGATCTGAAACCACGGAAGAGACCATCTACATTAATGTACAACCCATGTAGATATTTCCAATATCCCATTAAATAGTTTTGTAGCTCCTGCTTATATTCTACCCAGACCTCATTATTTAACAGAATCTATATTCAAACTAGGGGAATTCCAATCTATGGGAAATCCTCCCTAAGCTAAAGTTACAACTTTTTTACTTCCTGCTGTAACACATCAAACCGTTTCCATTTGAAGGACTGAAGTTTTATCATTTCCACCCTAAGTACTCTTTTGTGATGTCCACTACCCTATTATATATAATGTTTTAGAAATCCTTGCAACATCCAGGATCTCCTTTAACACATGGCACAGCTAGTCCAAAAGCAATCTCAATAATCCAATGGCAAGCACAGCAGGACATCTTATCTGCTATACACTTATCTTAAAGTTGCTTAAATTTAGCTTAATTGCATCATATGTTTGAGCCCTTTCCTTCAGTCACTTAAAATCTTTATAAACATGACTTTAGAATTCTGTGCATTATGTGCATGATCTTGCTATGTGGCCTCTCTTGACCTGTTAACTTGCCCTTTAAATCCTATTGTAGATAATAGTGGATAAACTTCTCAGTAGACAGAACCTTGCTTGACTCTATACTTACTAGTTGTATGCATAAATGAAGAAAGTGATCCAGGAGGTTCCACCTGAAAACTTATGACAATACGATAGGGCACTGCATTGAGTACATTCAACACTGGAAATCTTATGTTTCCCCTCCCCTGTTTTAATCCAGTGTAAACAAACTGGTTGTGAAAGGAGGTTGAGTACCTGCAGATTATTTAAATATTGCCCAAACATGGAAGTTTAGAGAAAATTTTAGAGTGATTGAATTGGTTACATTATAGTTTCTTTTATGAAACTATAATGTGAATATTGCTCTGTCAAATGATTCATTGTGGTGTCATATGAGGCCAATTAACGTTTAGATGGAGGAATAAGGTGCAGAGGAACTATTTATTTATTTATTTATGAAGACTGGTTTGTAGATTTATGTTGTTCTCCTCTTATTTATTGAGTGTAATCTACAGATCTTAGATGACAGGTAAAAGCCACACCCCTTCTCTGATCTTGGCTCTCATGACCCTCAGATGCAACTTTCCCACTTCCCTAGCTTCCATCTCTAAAATGCAGAATATGACTTCAACTCCCAAACTTTGCTAACATGATTTACACTGTAAGCCTTGACTGCTTTGAATGTTCCCTCAGAGCTCCTTTAATTGACTACAGCAGAATTGCACTTGAATCACCATGCAATGTGAATCCTGTATCTTTGTGTCAGCATTTACATCAAAATATGTATCTGTACATTGGCCTCATTTTTTATGGCTTCTTAAAAGGGGAGAATCTATGCTTGATTTCCTTGTTATCTTCCTCTCTCATCTAGTGTATAGCAGCTTATGGGTTAGAACTGAAGTTTAGTTGTTTCACCTCTGGGCTCTCGACTGTCCTGATCCTTCCATAGGTTTGATGATGGGTAAAATAGAATCAAGCACTTACACTTGTTACAAATAAGAACAGTTGAGTACAAGAACAAGTTATTTCTCTGTAGTGGTTTTTGTTTGGATAAAATTTTACAAAAACTCATTTGAATGCATTTTTCCTATTTTCTCTTAAGTTTTCACAATCAATGTTGTATTTCTAAGCTAAGAAAATCTTTCTGATTGGAGTCCTGTTTATATATCCTCTTTTACATACTACTACTTCATGGGATCACCCTAGAAATCTTGAGCAAGATACTTAAAGGAATCAGTCTTCAGTTTCCTCATATGTAAAATAGGAACAGTAATTAGTACTAAGCTCATATGTTTGTTATGAGGGCTGAGTTAATATTTCAAAGAGCTTAAAGCTTTAGTGTGTCTTATATATTATATATATATATATATATATATATATATATATATATATATATATATATATATATATATGTGTGTGTGTGTGTGTGTGTGTGTATACACACACATACATACATATTGATTAAATATATTCCTTTTTTTCCTGTGAATAGGAAAAATTCCCATGGATTTTAGAATTTATATTTATCCTTACTTTAGTAATTCTAATCTTATTTCTGTACATGTAAGTCTTAGTCATCCTTCAATGACAAGAGCAAAATATTGCTTGGAGTAGGAGACAGAGAAATTAATATTTATAATTAATCTAAATTCATTATTTACCAACTGTGTGTCCTTGTACCAGATACCTACTGAGTTCATACATCTTATTAAAATGTATATGGATTGTATAGTTTTAGAAAAAAATTAAACCCAACTTACTTTTAGGCCTTTATTAATTAAAAGTATATTTACTGAGAACCTGATACATATTAACACTATTCTAGATATTGGAGCCACAAGAATAGATACTATAGACTATAACCTCCCCTTGGTAGAAATTATCTACAAGTGGGGAAAGATCAACAATTAAAAAATAGGAGACAAAGTAGCCACCAAGTATATTAAATGGTACACTTGGATGCAGGAAAGGTGTGTGGGGGGTGCCACTTAAGTAGAGACCAGAATATCTGAAATGGGAAGATCCAGTGATGGTCTTGGAAGAATGTATTGGATGAGATATAATAAGAATTATATATAATTAATCTTTGCTTTCAGTTCCTGACACAGTGCTGCTAAAACCTTTGTAATTTTCTGAGTAATGAGCTGATAGGAGCATCTTTTGTTTGCTCTTAATTTTTCGTTCCTAACACAAGAGCTTCTAGGTCCCTTGGGTTCTCCAGAGTTATAGTACCTGTGTATAGCAACTAGATAGATATCTTGTGATAGAAAGGCTTAGGTGGATTAGCATGGGGGCTGGTAAAAAAGATATTGTTCTTGGGTTGTATTCTTTGTAATACACTTGCAACAGTAAGTCAAGTGTTCCCCACTGTGAGCTGTGACAGCACATTATAGAACACAATGAGGTGGTCATGGGAAACCCCAAGGTGTAGGTATATTGAAAAAAAGTGTGGGTAACTTGGAGACAGCCACTTGTTGAGTTTAATCTGAAGTGACGGACAAGCTTGTATGACTGAGCCACTGACCTGTGGGGTCTGTATTAACTCTTGGTAATGTCAGAATTGAGTTTAAATGTAAGATATACAGTTTATGTCTAGAGAATTGAGATTTATTTGATATGAGTTGAGGAGGAGGAAACACCTTATTTTCCTTTTATCAGGAAAAGAACAGCAAGTTTAATGATCCTTGACTCTTGGTTGTAGTCTCCACCAAGTTCCCTTGTGGTTGAGGGAACTTGGTGGAGACTACATGACCCATGTCAAAAGAGCTTAGTAGGTGTAAAGGGGAGGTTTAAAGTGACTGGTTTACATTTTAAAAGAGATAGCTAGTGTGTATAATAAAAAGTTATAAGGCAAGGATAGAAGCAGGAGACTTAATGAGTACAAATTGCAATTGTCCAGTTGGGAGGTAAAAGATAGTGAGGTGGATATAGTTAAAATTTGTAAATTAGGTTATATTTTGAAACATATGTCCATGCATTGAATGTTGTGGTGCAGAGATCCAGTAGTACCCAATGTGTCCTAAACCCGTAAGGAAATAGTGATGACATTAATGGTAGTGAACATTATAATTATTACTAGAGTCACAGAAATTTTTAAACTGATTTTTGCATAATAGCTTGCTTAATCTTCACAAAAAGTGCTATGTTAGGCACAATTATTTTCCCATTTTGCAAATGTACTAACATAAAGAAACAAGTATATTGTCTATTTTTCCAAGTCTTTAAAATGACATATAAGATTTAACCACAGAATCTGGCTTTAAAATCTCTGCTTCAGGAAGAATAAACTTGGCAATTTTAGTAAACAGTG